CAAAATTTATCAAAATCAAAATTACATTAAAAGTTATCAAATTATATCAAAGATGACCAAAATAGTATTCAATGTTATTAAATTTTATTAACTGTTATCAAATTTTTAATAAAGGTCATCACAATATATAAAAGGTTCATATCTAAGATTATCAAAATTTTATTAAAAGTTACTAAAATTATATCAAACTTACTAAAAATTTATAAAAAATTACCAAAGTTATATAAATGGTTACTCAAACTATATCATAAATTACCAAAATATAAGTAAAGGTTATTAAAATTTTATCAAATGCTATAAAACTTCTAATAAAAGTAACCACAATATATCAAAAGTTATCAAAATCAAAATTATATAAAAAGCTATCAAGTTTTATCAAAGGTTACCAAAAAAGTATTAAACATTACCGGATTTTATTAACTGTTATCAATTTTCTAATAAAGGTCATCACAATATATAAAAGGTTATTAAAATCAAAATTAAATAAAAAATTATCAAATTATATCAAAACTTACTAAAATTATATCTAAAGTTACCAAAATTATATCAATGGTTATCAAAATTATATCATAAGCTACCAAAATTGTATTATAGGCTATCAAAATTGTATCAAACTTATTAAAAATTTATTAAAAATTAGCAAAATTATATTAATGAGCACCTAAGTCATATAATAATTTACCAAAATTTTATCAAATGTGATCAAACTTTTAAAAAATGTTACCAAAAATTAAAATCTAATATTCTACACAAAAGCAAACAAAAAAAAATTTTGATTTCCTCGTATTTCCCCTCCCCTTCTCTCTCTAGTCTCCCTTTTCCTCTGACCTTTCTTTAAAAGCTATCAGAAAATTCAACAAAATCCTATTACTAGCCAAAAAATCCAAATTTTGGCACCAAAAGATTCAAACGGTGCTAAAAAAATTTAAACCATCCCCAGAACTTTCAAAAATCCAGAAACCGGTCACTTAGAAATCCTCTAACTGCCTAAACATTGGCAAAAAATCAAAATTCATTGAAAAATTTAAAGAAACCCAAAAAAAACTCACAAAACCCATAATTTCAAAAAATAAACCAAAACCCAAAAAATTCAACCCAAATCCAAAATCTCAGAAACTTCAAAAATACCCTAAAATCCCAAAATCATATAAAAAACAAAAACCCAAAAATATAAAAACCAAAACAAACACCAAATTTTGAATTAAATTTTCAAAACCCAGAATCTTTAAATCCAAAAATTTTTTCTGCTTTAGCTACTGTTTTGTGGTATGCTAATTGTTATAACTGCTTGTTGTTTGCTTGTGTGTTTTGATTACAAATTATGATTCTTTATACGGGGATTAAACCCCTTTCAATTTAGAAAACCCCGAATCCTACCAAATTTGCCAAAATAATTCTTCAAAAGATTGTTTTTCCTTTTTCTATGGATTAGAACTCAAGTTTTTCAAAATTAACTTGTGTTGAATATTCTTGGACCTTTGCAAAGATTGAATCTGCCCAACTTTTCCCTTTTCAATTTTCACTTTTTTATTTTGATTTTTTTATCACATGCCAAAAAATCAAAAAATATAGCAATAATAATAAACCAAAAACTAAAACAGAAATCAAAAGCTAAAATAGAAAATAATACTAAAAATGGATCAAAACAAAATTACAATTTTTAGACTTTTTGATTTTGCACATAAAATTCAGTTTCACAATTAAAACCTAATTGCACAATTTCACAATTTATGAAATTCAAAGCCTATTTAATCTTTAAAAAATTTCGGACAAAATGAGGTATCTACAAGCCTAAATAATATTTAACTTTATGCCATCCTTGTGAATAAGTATGAACTATGATATTTCTTTTAAATGAAATATTTGAAGTATTTCCCTCAACCTTTATAGCAGTAACTTAATTAACAAATAAACAATTATAAATCCATTGATCTAAATTAATATTTTTGTAGTACAAATTTTAAAATCTTCAAAAGAAGATATATCTTTAAATCTCTGTAAGACTTCGACATAAAAATTTTCTTTTAGAATTATCATTAGTATCCCTATCACTTTTACACTTAAATTTTCATTATGTTGTGTTCTTATTATATTTTGAAATTTATTACTGGTGCCATAAAAGTATAGCCAAAATAACATAAATTAATTAACTCATACTTGAAATAATTCAAAACTCAAATTGAGTATAAATAAATTTTTACTTATTTTAGATTTTAATTTAATTAAAAAAACTAGAATACAAATAACTATAAAAATGAACTAATTTGATTATATTTCAATTGATTTTAAAAGTTAATAACTTAGTCATATTTCAATGAAAAATGTACAAATCTATTGATTTCAAATTTCTTTAAGATTAATATGAAACTCTTTTATTCAAAGAAATATTATTACTCTTTCATTTTCATTTTTATGTCAATTGAAAAATATTCACTATTGTATAAAAAATTTTAAGGTTGTCATATTAGATAATGTTTAATCAAAAGAATTGAAATTCATTAAATTAATTATCACTATTATATTTAATATAAAATATTATTATAAATTATAAATTAACTTAACTTAAAAGTGATTTAAGAGCATTTTTTAGTAAAATTTATTTGATAAATCTTTATTTAATTTTGATAAATCTTTATTTAATTGTATATTTAGTATTTTAATTATTTTGAATTTTGACTTTTCATAATTTCAAGTTAGATTTTAGACTTAAGATTAGCAGCTAAATAGGTTAAGTCAAATTCTATTATGTATTTTTATTTATAGTGTACTTAATTTATTCACTTATGCAACTAAGTAAATTTAACTTAATAATTATGCATGTTTTTCTTTGTTTAAAAAACTCGATTCAAATAATCATAAATCCAAATAAAAAGAAAGTATACTCATTTACTTATAATTATAATTTCATTTAGAAATACTGTTAAAATTAATTAAGTCAATCACAAAGAAAATAAAAATAAGACATTAAAGATGAAAGGAAAATATTAAATAAAGAACTTTTAAATTGTTACAAAAGATTTTTTTATTTTTCTACTTAGAATAATTTTCTATTAGTGTTTCCATCAATTGAATTTAATTATATTTTTTTATCAATTGAAAGCTTTATTTTTTTATTTTAAAATTTGTTATACATAAATTTTTATTATATAAAAAATTAAAACACGTAATTTTAAAAAATAAAATAAAATGCTAACCATGGTATTTGTCCTATTTTCTTAAAAAATTTCTAATTCTAAGAATAACAAACTTGTTATATAGTACCTATACAATTTATAATGATTTTATTTTCAGCATTACTAACATAAGTTTTCATGAATGAATGTAATTTTAACATAAATACATTCAAAAAATTGTTCTAATAAATTTTGCCATATCCTCAAAGAATTCACAAAAACAATTAATTTTACTTTACTTGATAATTTTTTTACTCAAAATAATTCATGTTAGATCATTCTGGATGATAAAAAAAAGTGAGCAATTTAATAAAATTGAGAAAGATTAAATAATCTTGAGATGTAAATTAATCATATAATATATATATGTATATTAAGATAAAAGTTGAGAAAAAATTAAAATTAATTATTGTCTCAATCAAGGGAACAATTCTTATGGCAATTTAATAGAATGTAATCCTGAGCTATTGAAAATTGCACCACCTCTTTACTCATATAATTTAACTAATGAAATATCTAATTAAAGTTTTAAATGAATCATATAATACCAATTGTTAATGAAGGGTCCCGATTGATTTGTATTTGATTTGATATTAATTTTTATTCATGAGAATAACAATTATAAAATCATAAAGAAGAATACAAAAAAATTAATTATAAAAATAAGACTAAACTAAAAATGATATAATAAATAATTATTTCAAGGGATTGAAAATTTTAATTATGTTATCAATGATCAAACGATCAACTCGTAAAATATACAAATAATAAAATCATTAATAGATGTATATAGTTAATATATTAAAACAAAAAATTGTGAGACAAAAAATAAAAAAATGTTTCAACAACTTAATTATGATTACTTTTAATAAATTTATTTTTTAACATAAACAACATATACAATTGTTTTTACAACAACTAAAGAAACAATCTCCATATAATTGTTTATTTCTATACATACTAAGCTTTGATTTCGTTCTATTTATAGTTTTATTTATGTGAAAATTCATTTTATTTAGCAAAAAGGTCTAATAATTTAAAAAATCATTTAAATTTAAAATTTTTTAAAAATTACTAATGGTGTTTTAATTAATTACTTTTAAAAATTTTTAGATTAAAATTTTATTAAAGGTATTTTAGTTAATCACATTTAGCACTTTTTAATCTAATTATAAAAAAGAATCTAATAATAAAAATTTTATTTAAATTAAAATTTATAAAAAAAATATTTATTAAAAATATTTTAGTCAATCACTTTAATACTTTTGGAATTAAAATTTTAAAATTTTAAGTAATCTTTATTTTTAATTTTAATTAATTTAAATTAAACTTAAGTAAATTAATAAAAGTTGTATTTTCATTTGATGTGAAAAATCATTATAGTTATAATAAATAATCTAATAATAAAAAAGGTCATTTAAATTAAATTTATAAAAACATTTAGTGATATTTTTATCAATCACTTTTAATATTTTTGACACTAATTTTTTAACGATATTTTAGTCAATCATGTTTAGCATTTTTTTTTAATTTAATTCATTTAAATTAAAATTTGTAAAAATATTTACTAAAGATATTTTAACCAATAGCTTTTAACATTTTTGAAATTAAAATTTTTAAAATTTAAGTACTTTAATTTCTTATAAACTCTATTATTAATTTTAATTGATTTTAATTAAATTTAACTAAATTAATAAAAATCGTAAACATTTAAAAATAAATTTATTAATTTTAAAATTTATAAAAGTATTTAAATTGATCACTATAAATATTTTTAAAATTCACACTTATTTATATATATATATATATATATATATGTATGTTTGTATGTGCATCAAAATAATGCATAAATTTAAGTAATAATATCTCGCGGAATACTCATGCATACAAACACGCAGAAACCACCATGGTCGCCATGGTTTCGATCTGGAGTGTTCTCTAAAAAAGATTAAAAAAAACAAGAAAAGGATATGCCAAAGAAATATTCTCCAAAACCTAACTCAATAAGCTCGTAGTAGATTTGATAATGGCTTTCAATACTTGTTTCAGGTGCTTTGTTGAATGCTGATATCTAATCAAATATAGGGAAAAAGACAATGGGTGACAAAGGCTTAGAAACCTAACGCATCAAGCTTTTATTATTATTTTTTTCTCAAATGCTGATATTGCAAAGTTTCTGAATGGGGAATCTTTGAACAACCTGTAAATTTGGAACTAGCTACTTGGCTTCGCTTTTGATAGCTTCTCTTGCTCACTGAAAAAGATAAATATGATACTCACAAATAAATAGAAAAAGACAATATTGTCATCTACAAATCAAAGAATTTTCCATCTCTCTTCCCTAAGACAGCATTAATTGCCACAGCACAACACATGGCCCAAGGGTTCAACCCCCCCAAAGGAAGGGCTTGAGTTGCTTTGTCAGTCATGGACAAGGGTACCCGGCTCACATTGGCACCGACCATTTTGCACCTTTTGGACCCTTTTTGGTTAGGTCTTAGAGGCAGCAAAACACTTTAAGTGCCCACACATGTGAATGCCCCCCAAAAAAAACCATTCTCTCAAGGGAGGGGAGGGGCTCTCCTCTCCCTTTCTAGTCCCCACATGACAAAGGTAAACAACAACTTAACTTGCAAACAAATAATAATATCAAATCTCCTAATAATGGAATAGATAACAAGCATTAATTGCACTAAAACTAAAAATAATAGTCCATTAATGACTAAAGAAACAAATAGTGGGACGTGGGGGGTTTTTGGTTCCTAGGCCAATCTGTCTCTCACCTATCACCAGAGGGCAACAGTTGAATTTCAGAGGAAGAAAGCAATGAATAATGTCAACCACCCACTCCACTACTTAATAAGAAAAACCAACCTTCATTTATAAACAAATGTACTTTTTTTCATCGACCCCTGTGCCTAACAGATCAGAGAATTGACACAAGTGGCCCTTGTGAAATTGAAATTTATCAAATAATAGAGTTGCATAGAGAAAGAGAAGAAAAAAATGGGAATTTTTTTATTTATGGAATGGTTGAGGATAAAAAAAAAAAAAGAAACAACAGTATTAATGACAACATATTTCATCCTTCTTTCACTAACCTAGTAACTAAGTACCAACAGACATCCAGTCTCCCTCGTGGCTTCCAATGTTTTGTATATATCATCACATAAACATGTACAGATCCTCCACTACCAGCCAGCCTGCCTGCCAGTCCTTTCGCTGTATCTCCAAAATGTAAACTAATTATCCACTTTAATTAAATTGTACACATATTTCTCAATTCTTTTTGTTTTTTCCACTAAATGAAAGTAGTGATACAAGAACCAGGCTGGCCTACTTGAAAATGGAAAAGGGAGAAAAAATTAACAAAAAGGTGAAGGGAGGAAGAACAGGGAACCCTAGAGCAATGAGGAATGAATGAATAAATAACAACTGCAAAAATGGAACTAAAGCTAATTTCTCTGGGTTCCTCTGGCATTGGTTGTGATATTATGTAGCTCTGGTTTATGTCAAAGGTATCTGGTAATCTTTATGTGGTGGGAAGAAAGATTGGGAGGGGGGTGGAAAAGTTCCCAACAAAATGGACATTTGGAAGGCAAGTAAACAAAAAAAGGGTGGAGCAGGAATACAGTACAGTGATGAGTTCTAAAAGCTGTAATGCCTCACCGAGTGTTCCAGCATTTCTCGACTTGGGCACACAATTTCCTTCACCCGGCTACCATTTTTGTATATCTTGAACGTTGGTACAATCCTCACATTCTCAGCATTGGCAACTGCTGGACTCTCATCAATGTCCACCTTTACTCCAAAGAACCAACAGAAAGTAGAGAAGAAACACTTCTGTTATTTTTACGGCTTTAAATGAAGTTTTCTTTATCTAAACGAGCATGGAAAAAACAAATAAACCATGGAGAAAGAAAAGTGGGCCATTTACCTTAAGAAAATTTATGGAGGGGTAACGTCCACATAGTACATCCACAAATGGAGATATCTGCTTGCATTGCGTGTTGGAAGCCATCTTAAAATGGACTACAGAGATGCCTGTGGTTCAAAATTAACTCTCAAGAGGATTGCCAGACAGTGAAAAGGGGAGAGAGAGCAATTGAAGATAGTTTAAAATGTCTGGAATGTAAGGAAAAGTTTAAAATGTCGGGAATTTAAGGAAAACACTTACCTGGCAGAGATATCGCAGCTCTGAACTGCTCAAGACTGGATACCTCCTCTACTTCACCACCAAACTTCATATTATAAACTTCTTCACCGCGAGATTTCTTCAATGCAACTTGTGAATGAAATAGAGATTCAGCAACTTCATTATCATCCGGAAGTTCCCTTCTCAAAACTTCATAATCTCGCACAGCATCAGCCCATCTCTCTAACTGTAGTTCACAATAAGTAAACATTACTATGAAGCAACCAAAGCCATATGAATATATACACAAAAGATGATTATTCTTAAGATGAAGGAAAGCTTTAAAGAATTATTTACCTTGCTATTGGATGCTGCCCTTCGAAGAAGGGCCTTTATGTAGTTAGGTAGGATGCTTAAAGCTTGGTCGCAGTCTTCAACAGAACGCTCCCACTGCCCAAGCTTAAACCAACAAGCAGCTCTGTTACAATAAAGAACAGAATTTGATGGATCAATCCTGAGACCATCCCCATATGCTAAGCAGGCCTCAGTGAACCTTTCAGATTTGAAAAGATCATTCCCACGTGTTCGTGCTCTTGCAACCAACCTCACATTGTTAAGCAGTACAGCAACTTCAACATTTCGAGGATCAATCTGTCCAGCCTTCTCAGCAGCTGTAACTGCATTCTGAAACCTGCAAGGTATCCATCATCAATTTTCTTAATTTGCTCCCAAAGTCTTTGCCATATTATATCCGATGAAGCTCAGCATTTTTTTAAAACTAACCTTCCAAGTGCCATCTCAATTTGTGCTCGCACAAAGAAGAGATACGCTTCAGAAAGCATCCCAAAGAACCTAGTCTGTGAGGAATAGTTGGTGCATGAGTCTAATTTAGGAACAATTGAAAGGCTTGATTCAGCATCCTCAAGTTGGTGGAGTTTCAAAAGGGCTTCCACTCTACACATAAAAAGCTGTAAATTCAATTTGAACCAGTTCAGCCATTTTCAATGTCTGTTAACTGCACAAATTCTTCATAATTTAGTGATGGAAAGTTTTGGACAAGTTTTTACCTGAGGAGAAAAGTCTGCTCCAGCGGCAATGGCAGCATCAGTTTCCCATAATGCACTGTTCCAGTCTCTAATTCTCCGGGCAACTGTACACCTGCTAAGATGCTTTTCCACTGCCTGCAACTTCTGCATCTCAGTTGGATCTTGTGGTTGCCCAGGAAAACATAGGTGCTTCCTAGCATTCTCAACCTGCCCTAACCTGAAATCCAGTGGAGTTAAATTGGAGCAACCTAAATATTTACATGCACATTTGATTCAATTGGGGCAACCTAAACACTTATGCATTTGACTGGTGCTGGATAACAAAAGTGATCTCAAAGTGCCTTTAATAATTAAATGAGCAAAAGGCGGGCATCAAGAAAAGCGAATAACATAAACTGGCAAAAAACCAAAATAGACCGATAACTAATTTTTATAGAAGATAGAAATATAGGCGAAAAGTTCATGAGCCAACCAACATTCTTAGGGAACAGATCCTTCAAAAATAACTTACAAGAACCGATAATTTGGTGGAGGTAACTATTGAACACAAAGTCCTTACATCTCAAAGAATTGCTAAGAGGAAACCCAACATCTAAAATCAACAAAGAACTCAAGTAATATTTAAAAGGAGAAAATTAGACCAAGACAAGGTTATCTTAGAAATACAAACAACCATTAAAATGAAAATGATTCAGATCAGAAAGGAAAAGATAGGGAGCAGACAATTGTGTTGATAAATATAGCAGACAGAAAATTAACTAATCAAAACATATTGATCTAACACTTAACAATTAAAAAAAAAAAAAAACCTCAGTAACCATTCTCATCAATGCAGATGAAAACATTAGCATCACTCACATTCATTCACCAGATCAAAACTTCTGCATCTATATATCATCAAGACAAAGCAATAGAAGACGAAAGAAACACAATTCTTTCTCACAAAACCAGATCCAAAACATCAATAAAACTATCAATAACCCACTAAATATCAAAACTATCCAAAACAACTTCCACCGACACTCTTTCTTTCGCCAATGCAGATTGAAAAAACATCAAAAATATATATGTCAAAACTGTTTTCACCTTAACAATAATGAAGACAATCTCTGATGAGCCCTCCAATAATTAGGATCCAATCTAACTGCTTCCTCACACTCCTTCACCGCCTCTCCTACTCTGCCTAACGCCGTCAATGCAGCCGCCCTGTTACTCCGGTAAGCTGCATTCCCTGGAGACATAGCTATAGCCTTATCGTACAAACTCAAAGCCTCTAAAAAATGACCTTTTTTATACATCTCATTCCCAACTCTTTTAACTTCCTCGGGTTCGGAACTCCTCATTGCTTTCCTCAATAAATCACTTCCATTCCCCCGGCTTACCAGGGGGTTACTGTGTTCAAAGACGCCGCCTTTGGAGGCAGTAACGACTCCAGTTGCCACTCCACCGCCCCGCATTATGCTGCCGTGGCCATAATTACCCGACCCGGAACCTAAAACGTCGGTCCTGGAGCTCCGGTTAACTGCCATACCACTTTTTAGGATTTTCCCTGAAGGGCATATATTTCCCGTCGGAAGAACGTTGACTGGTGGCGAGTTGACGGAGCTTTGACCTGAATAGATCAGCGGGTGGGTTGGGGTTGTGTTGGGTTCGGATCTTGTCTGACCCAGTTTTATATTACGGGTCGAAGCTGTCGGGCTTGTTTCGCTTGACCCGGAAAGTTCCCCCGAGTGAGTATTCGGACCCGATTCGGATCTTCTAGAAATCGCGTTGGATCCGTTTCGACCCGAAACGGATCCGGATGAGCTGGAGCTCGAACTCGTCGTTGTCGTCGTGAGGCCTTGTTGCCGAGTTCGGAGCGGCGACACGGGTGAACCCAGATCGAGTTCACGGAAATCGGGCTTGTTAACATCGTAACTCAGTGAGTCAAGGAGTTGATCGGCGAGTTTCTCTAAACCCCCTAACTCCGTTACAGGCTTTCCAAGATGCGACATTTCGCTTCCTTTTCCTTTCACCAAAAATGCGTTTACCCCAATTCTCGTCCCCCTCCCACCTCTCTCTTGTATTTGGGTTTTTTTATTGGCAATGTGAGTGAAAGGAGAAGCTTGAAGTGAATGTAGGAAGGACAGAGCTTGAAGAAGAAAGGAAAATCTTTGTAGAAGACATCTAACAGAGAGAAAGGAAAGGAAAGAAAGAAAGAAATGGGGATCTCGTGATATAAAAGGAAGAAGCAAAGAATGAATGTGAATTTAGAGAGAGAGAGACAGTGCTGTGGGCTATCAGCTATGTCTTATCCCACTCTCAGAAGAAATTTTTAGATTTCTGATAATAAAAATTTACATTCTATTTTAATTTTAATTGCATGATTTAAGTGAGTTAAAAAGAGTAATTTTTCCTTTATTTTTTATCCAACAATGCTAATTTTTTAGTACAATATAAATTAATTATTATACATTAAAATTTTTTTATTAGATTTAATTGTTTTTTAATTATCCAAAAAATTTATAATTATTTATAATTATTCAAAAAATGGATTTAATTTGTTTTTTATTTTAGAAAATGAGATTGGACATCATTCTTATTTTTTTATCAAATTAAATTATTAAAATTAAATAAATTAAAATAAATTACAAGCATTTGTCAAATACTAATTTTTTAATTATAATGATCAAAATTTAAATTTTGATAATTTTTAATATAAAAAAATTATTAAAACTATTATCAAATAAATACTTATATGAATGTTTCTTTACTTTTTAATATCATGAATAAAGTTAAAATTATAATGAAAATTGTCTTAATTTTCATAAAATTGAGTCATCTTTATCTCTTATTTCTTTTTTAATTTCTATCACATAACCAATAATAAGTGAAATAACATGTATTTTAAATTCAAGAAAAATAGTTTTATTTTCATATCCATTATACCTATCTTATTTCCTCTCTGAAATATATATTTAACTAATACTTTTGCATCCTAACCATCCAAAGATTTTGTCATTTGCTTAATAACAAAAAAATAAATCATTTTTCACAATTAAATTCAATTCTTTAAGGAAAGAATATAAAATATCATAAAAACTAAAAATACATATAAAATTATTTTTTATACTAAAAACTTAAATTTTAATATAATTTATTTATATAATTATAAATAATATCTAATAAATTTTAAATTAAAATTTCAATACATGTAATTTTTTTATTTTTAAACCATAATATTTTATGAAAAAATAAAATAAACAAACCATATACTTGCAAATTTGTTTGAATTAAATTTAAACTTAAACTAATTATCATTGTAGCGCGTGAACACGGTAAAATAAAGGGAGAGTGAGAAAGCAAAATTAAAATTGTATGAAAATAATTAACAGGAAAGAGGTGAGCAGGTCCATCATCTTCTTCTCTGTCTGCGTTATTTTTACTGTTTTTTCGACGCTGCTATATTCAAATTTTCAGTTAATTTTTTTTACGGTGGTAAATATTGAACTCAAGTCTTTCCTTCTAAAAAAGTCCAAAAAAAGCCTTCCTAACCACGTGGCACATCCATAGAGGCTTGTGACGCAACTTTAGGACACAGCATACATCAATACCAAACCAGCATTCAATTTTTGGGCATTTACTGCTGTTCCGGTAATTACCAAATTTAGCACGACCTTTTCTATTGTTTGAGCAAAATATTAACTCACCATTAATCTCAGCATGTGAATCTTTTATTTTATGCTTAAGTAAGAATAATGTTACCAAATGATATTGACTCTAAAGGAAGCATGCTTCACTTTTGGTTGTTTAAGTTTGAATTAGTTGAAAGATTGTACAAAAATAATTTTTTTATAAATTTGTTTAATTCAATCTAAATAACTTTATTTGAATAAATCTACAAAAAAAAATGTATGGAGTGAATTTTAAAAATCCCTTACAACTAAAAACGATTAGTGTTACTTTGTTATTAAGTCACAAGTAGAGGGGTAATTAAGCTAAATAAAGTGAATAAATTATTAACTTCAAGTTTAATTTGTCTTTAAAACTCAAAATTTGAAGTTCGATTCGAGTTCGACGGAACTTATTTTTTATGTTCGAATTTAGTTTGTAATGTAATTGATTGCTCAAGGTTAGTTTGATAGGCTTTATAAAATTGTTAATATTGACATTAATTATTATATTTTTATCATTTATTTTTATATTAAATATATCAAAAATAAAATTTTGATTATTGTGAACCTTTCAAATTAACTATTAAATTACTTACATTTAACTTGACTTGTAACTTAAGTAACTCAAATTTAAATTCGATTTGAAAATAAACAAATCAAATTTAAATTTTTTTCTAATTAAGCTAAATATATCACAAGTAATTTTATTCATTTATATGAAATAAAATGTAATAATTTTAAAGGTATTTATTTTTTAAGAGTGATTAGAGTGTCTAATATTCTAATATTTTTATAAATAACTTCTTGGTATAAAACAAAATTATGATTTAAGTAAAATATACCATAAAGGTGATTGTGGTTAAAGTTCTCAAAAATTACGATTTTAAGATAATATATGTGACATTATCATAAAAATGTCATAACATATTGATATTTACATTTACATGTTATGAATGTTATTAATGTTAATGATACTCAACTTATGATGATATAATTAATATTTTTTACATAAAATTATTAATAAGAAAACCTTTTTTTTTTTATCTCTAAGCTCCATTCTTTTTTTTTTTTTTTTTTTACTTCAACCTCCTTTGTTTGATTAATTTGAGTATTGAAATGTATTTTTAATTCTTAATTTCGACACCTTCCGACTGTTTTTTTTTTTTTTTTGTCGGTCCAATTCACCTCCACAAAATCATTCAGTTAAGTCCCACCTCACCGCCACTAAAAAATCCCATCAATAATGTTATAATTATTAACATTGTGTATAAAAATTAGTAAATTAAATTAAATCAATCAATTAATCAATGAATTACTGTATAATAAGACAAATTTAATATTAAATTAAACTAAAATCTTACATTAAAATTAGATCAAATTCATTTTAGTGGAGGATCTTAACAACTTATTTATTTCCAATTTTTTTATACAAAGTACAATAAATTAAGAATGAGTCGTCTAAGACTAGAAATGACAGGTCATGATAAAGAAAATATGTAAGTGATTACATGCGAGGTTGAATTTTTTATGGTATATTTATAGTAAATGTCTTTGATATTTCTCTAAATTCGTGAGTGCTAATTCATACCTAGGTTCCTGTACTTTCCAGCAGTACTTTTTTAAGACTCTTACGCAAGCCACAAGCTAATACATATTTTGAAAGGCCCTCCAATATACTCAAATTGCCCCCCATAATCACATAAATGCCCCTACCTATAAGAGGAAATAATCACATACTAAACTAATTTTATTATATTTATGATATATTTATTTAATTAAAATTTTTTAAAATATTATTTATGATTATTTAATAAATAAATAAAAATAAATAAAATTAAATATATTCATAAATAATTTATAAAATAATTTATTATTTTATATTTTCAAATATCCATAATAAAAATAAATTAATTTTATTATATTCATAATTTATTAATTTAATCAATAAATCTGTAGACTGTATCGCTTGTCCATTAATTTCAAAATTGCTTTAAATCATGCAAAATCTTCGCTTGTTTACTTCGAGAAGCTCGAAAAAGTGAGTAAAATGTCAACTTTAAATAAAAAATATATTTGATAATAATTTAAAATATAATATAATAACATTAAAAATATAAAGAATAAAAATTTAAATTTAAATTTTAAAAATAATTATATATAAATTTAATAAAAATTATAAAAATATATTTTATATTTATACAAATTAAAATATATAATTTTTATATAAAATATAATATAAATACACTAATTTTAATATTTAACATTATACAAATATCGAATACTCGAATAATGTATCTACCCAAAAGCCAGACAGGCCAGCAGCAATGGCAGCATGGTAAGAAAGTGGTCTAAATAGGGGTCATATGGAGATTTCGGTGGGCCCACAGGGGCAGAAGTAGCTGGCCATGTGCAGCAGAGACTGGCATGCCAGCTGGCCCAAGGAGGAAAGACAAGAGTGGCACCCAGCCAAGCAGATGACGGAGATTAGTAACGACGTTAAGATGAACCAGTTTATTTTGGCAGTTTGGCTAGCATTTGTTAGTACTGTTAAGAATGGGCATATAACGGACGTCAAAAAGAGATGGTGACAGCAGAGGAGTCCATACTTGTCAGTGATGGCAGGGAAGGGGAATGATGACCACGCCATCTAATCGATGCCAGCTAAGCAAATTATTCATTGCCCTATTTGTTAGGTTTGATTCAATACTTAAGGTGTACCCAAAACACTGATAACAATTTATATAGCTCAAAATAATATAATTTAAAATTTTAATTAAAATTATACATATGTTTAATAAAATAAAATAAAATTTTATTTTTATATCAAAATAAATTATAATATGTAATTTTTATATAATATATTAAATTATTATTATTTTATATAATATAAATATATGAATTATTAAATATAATTTAAAATTTTTATTTCATAGTATGATAAAAAATTTTTTTATCGATGATTAAGTTTATAAAAAAATTTATCACAATTTAAGATTAAACTCTTACAATAAAAAAAAACCCTAAGTCAATAAAAATTGAAACTATTTCAAAACATTTATAACAAACTATTTCAAATTGAAACTTTTTAGTAAATTGAACGTGCTGCAACAATTCTTTTTCCTTTTTAAATTGCGTAAAATTATATCATTTTTTAAATATTCCAATAAGATATTTTGTACTTTACATACAAAAGTTATACTTAAAATTATATTTGTGATATTGTTTTGGTGCATTAAAAATGTTATTTTGATAGTATTTTTCATTAAAATTGAATTAATATGATTAATGAAGAAAATGAATTTTTATTAAAAATGTAAATGAATTGAATATGAAAAATTTATTATATTTATAATTTGCTTATTTAATTAAAAAATATTTAAATATAATTCATGATTGTTTATTAAATTTAACAAATCAAATTTATTTACAAATTATTTGTTGAATCTTTTATTTATTTATATTTTGAATATAAACAAACTAAATATAAAAAATTTATTATGCTCATAATTTATTCAATTAATTAATAAATTTTAAAAATATTATTTATAATAATTTATTAAATTTAATAAGTAAATATAAACAAACAAAAATAAAAATTATTCACAAATAATCTA